AATGACTTCCAAACAAAAAAATCCCTGGCTACATCCCGTCATAAGTCACCAAGTACAGTCTTTCCAGGTGCAATAGCACTGCACAGCTCAAAGCTGTTAAGTGGATTAATAAAATCAAACTCCTTTCATTCACATTACGAGTATGGTTCCGCATACACTCCAGCTTAAATGAATTATTTTATTATGTCACTAAATTTATGGTTTCCTTAAGAATCATAATTGCTCTGCGCTTAGATTCAATCGATGCTGATCGCCTGTTCATGATCGACTGTAGTGATCGCACCCGCATTTGGACAGTTAAAGATGCGATTCGATTAATAGACCGTTTCCAGGATGTCAGATATCGCACGGATTTGATTCGCATCTTCAAGGATGTCCATCTTATTCAACATGAAACTACAGAGAAGGTCTCATTGACATTCAGAAAATTTTTGTTAACAGATGAATCAAGAGGCATTTAACTGAATCCATGCATTTATTCAGCGCGCTTCTGAAATTGCTAGTTGAATTAATTATGTTACTTTGACTGAGGCCCAAAAATGGCTTAATAAGACAATTTCATCAGGTTGCATGAAAAAACTATAACAAGTCACACGTTCCACTTATAAACATTTGCAGTGAATCAGTTTCTTGCCGTTCACTCTTGCAGTTGCTTTCATTGTCTCGTGATTGCTTCATGAACTTAGCATAAAGCCGTAAACATTCATTTGAAATTAAACAGAAGCTAAAATTTAGCAATATTTAGAGAGATTCCGTTCTCTTGTTTATCTTTTGTCATGCCTAATGCGTTGATCCCTGTTTGGATTAGTTATTCGATGAGAATAACATTTGGTATGGAAATGTTGTCATCGATGGGGAATCATAGAACGGACAGCGAGAGGAAAGTGATTTGAGCAATCTTCCTTGCTGAGTTCGTGATGTTTTATGGGCAGAAGAAATGTTTGTTTCTACATCAAGACTCGCCTTTTCAGCACAAAAAAATCAGCAAAATGATTTTCAGAATCGATTGCACATAGTACCATTAGTGCTGTGTAATAACGAAGCATCACGTGAAGCGTTTCGATTGGCCACGTCGTCGTCAACGAAAAAATTTGCAAAACANGACAATGAGAATGTGCCGGGCAAAACAGATTCAGTGATCGGAGAAGATTCAGAAGCCGCGAGTGTTTACAGCGATCGGGAGCAACGCATTTCATGGAGCGATATGCAGTTGGCTGCGTTGTGCATTGTTGAGGTGAGGTAATTTGCAAGAGAGTAAGGTTAATGCGGTTATTTGCACGAGAAATTATTCGAAGTAGAGATGCATAAGATTTTATGGGCTCTTTACAAAGCAATATTGTGAAGAAGTTTTAAGCACGAGTAATATGATGACTCCAATATGGAAATCGAACTAATTTTTCATTCTAGATCTCTGCTAAGTCGATGTTATGCATTGATGACCTGATCAATTTGGAGCATTTCAACAAAAAGTTCGAGCGTGAGTTGGCAAAGCTGCGTGAAATGAACATAGCGCTGAAGGTGAACATTGAAAATTACGCTATGTCAGAGCGGTGTCGTTTTATGAAAACTCTCAAATGAGCTTCATTAAAGAGATTACTTAAGAAAGAAGTTTGGCCGAAATAAATTGATCGACAATTGATTTATAGGTTCCAATTTTTATACGTCGAAAATTCTAAATATTTATGATCAGTATTTATGATCGTATGGATTGTTCCCTTGATTTAATGGCCGCATTTAATTCGGCTCAAGTTCCAGCCGGAAGGTGCACCACCTATGAGGGGACGCTCTGAATCAGTATGGAATATTAAAGGAGCTGAGCGAGAACGAAGGAAGAGTGTCATTGCGAAGCACGAAATACTCGATTGTTACATTGACAAGGAGTAGTTGGCCGCGAAACATTTCGCAATTTCAGAAGAACGAACACAATTTCCGGATAATAAATTGAAATTGAAAGCAGTAAAACTGCAATCTCATTGAAGCAATTTGCAAACGCCGAAAACAAATTTCACCATTCTGAATCACATTTTCAAAAAAAAAAACGATGCATCAAAGGCTTTTTAGTGCCATTCAAAAATGCGGGAATATAACGAATCGAAAGATTAGAAATTGCTTTATGAGATAGACGGTTGCCGTTTTTTTTAATCATAAATGTTTAATGCACTTCAAGACGATTCAATTAAGGACGTGCACCATGAATGAATTTTTTGTCGCAGAATCAATGCGAAATCGATGGAGTCGTGAGGCACTATCGTTCCACAGTTCAAGAATACTTTCAACGAGAAATCCTCTCGATCTGATTCTCGCCTATCTGCCTACGCCAAAATTCGTTGACATTATTGATATGAAAGTTAGTTATTTCCTCGGACACTTAGGTAACCATATATCTGCACGGCCCGTCTCGGCATCGAGAACACTTCCACAAAACTGACCTATAGTAAGGTTCAGTATTCAGTTGACCATGAGCAGTGTGGATTGGATGATCGATACTGGTTCGCAGATCAATTACTTCCTACTGTTTCGGTATAAGTGTGCCCATTGAATAATGAACAGCAACGATCTTTCACGGCTTGTTACAACAAAGTGCAATGAATTCAGTTAGATGATGATAACTACAGAAGCAGTTTAAATGATGGCTGGTTACAGACAACGATAACAACACTCGACTTAAGCGATCTTAAACTCACCAAACTGGATGGTGTTGAGAGTCTGAAGAATCTGGCTCATTTATCCGTTTCAACCAATAAACTCACCTCACTGAAATGTTTGACATCGCTCAACTCATTAACCTATTTGAATGCATCCGAGAATATGATAACTAAAATCGAATCTTTACCCGAATCGCTGAGAATCGTTGATTTGCACTCAAATTCAATCACAAATCTGGATTTCTGTCTAAGCTTACAGGTTAGCATCTTATACTGCATCGAAACGACCTACATTAACATCCGCAAAAAATTTCGTTGATGAGGCGAATAAGTTGGGTTCTGCGCAAATAAAAGCTATGAGCAAATAGA